GTAACTTTTTCAAAATACAGCTTTTTGTACATGGTTTAGAGACAAATTTTGTACATGAAACCCCAAGTCCAATAGACTATATAAATAATTCTAAATGATCTTAACTAGTTAGAAGTGTGTGTAGTTGCTTTTAAGTCATTTTAAATACCTATGTTTTAAGACTGTGCAAAGATTGGAAGTGGGTTTGCATTTCTAAAATGGTGACTTTTATTCAGCAAGAGTTCTTAGTAACTTCTTGAGTGTGGTAGACTTTGGAACATGTAAATTTTTTGCCTGTAATGTTATCCTGTGGTAGGATTTTGGCAGACAAATGCTGCCGTATTTTAGTTTCAGTCTAAGTTAAATGTTTTCTGAAAACAGAAATGTGCACTGAACTCTCCACTGCAAGTCAAGACGTGGTAAAACCGAAAGAAAGTTCAAGACGATGAAATGGAATACTACTGTCAATTTCATGTCCACTGTGTTTTATACAGTATCTTTTTTGTTCACTTTGGAAATTTTTACTAAAAATGCAAAAAATAAAGTATTGTGCAAAGATATGTAAGGTTTTTTGAAACTTGAAATGCATTAATAAATAGACTTGATGAAATCATCTTCTGAAGATCCATTTACTTTCTGAACCCTGAAATCAAAAAGGAATACAGATTCTATCTCTATTTAAGTTTTGGTTTTTCATGGAAAGGGGCTGTCATGCCAAAAAGTAACTGGATAGTCTTTACAATATCCAAGTGCACCTCCCAAATTTAATATGTAGGAGTGGATGGTTTTGTGTAACCTTTTTAAGGAAAAGCCGTAAAATTACCTTTCAGTTACTTGTATGATTGCAGAACAAAAGCTTTCTCTGTTCTTACCTTCAAAATGGAAACTGGTCGCTAGTGGGGTATTCAGGCCTGGCTGCGTTACTACTGAATGATACCTTCTGAAATAAATAGATGTTTTTGCTGAGGAATACTGGAGTAAACACATAATGCTCTGAATGCACAACTGATGGGTAACACTTTTAGAAGTGAATTAGCTTTTTGCAAAGTGCTTTAAAACTGGTAAGCTGGGTGTCTGTGTTTGTTGGGTGTGCTGTATAGTTGATTTCATGAATAAGGCTGCTTTTTAAAGTCAAGTCCTGCCAGCTAGGCTCATTCTTAGGGCTGTTTGTTGAGAATGGCCTCCTTAGACATCTGTTTCCCTAACTGAGCAGCATACGCTTTGATGTAATCAAAGCACATGCAGAGTTCCTTCCTCACAGTACCTTCTGATTTTTTCCCATGGCTGGTTTTTTTATATCAAAGTGCTTCCCCTTGTAGCTGAATAGCACTGTCAGGGGCAAAGGTATTAGAAGAAAATCAGTTGGAGCAGAGCCCTTCTGCAAATCAGCATCATAGGTCCGTAATAGGTTCGGTGGTGGTTACAGTTACATTTCTATCTAGGAACGCAAACCAGAGGGGTAGAAATAATGCCCAGACATCTAAAATATGCATTTTGTGTCTATCTTAAAATGTGTTTGGGGAAATAAAGGTGTACATAAATAGCTGTAATTTTTCTAACTAATATTTGACCTAATAATCCCTAGTTGTAGCTATTTGTTTATTCCTGTTGTATTTCTTAATGCTTTAGTTATTAAATATATACATTCACCTTTGGGGTAGAAGCATGTATAGTCGGAATGGTGTGGGTGTGAGAAGGGCATCAAACTCCTCTTAAGCTATGAAACTGACTCTGTCAGTGACTCACTGATACAGATTGCCTTTAATGTTCCAGTATTTGGGAAAAGCACACAAAAACGTAAGAAGGAATTTTTACTTCTGAATATGGAAGTCCTTTATGACAGAGAGGTGATGCAAAGAACAGCGTTCATTGTGTCATTCTAAGCTGTGCTTGCTCTGACGGGAGCAGGTTCCTGATGGCTTTCAAGGTCTCAACTCAGTTGTTTGGAGTGGCACAGGAGCAATTCCAATGAGCACAAATTAAGGCATCACTATAGGCACTTGCAATTGTACATGTAGCTACAGTCTTATGTGCAGGCATTGTAAGATTGACTATGCAACAACTTGGGCTTTATTTAATTTTTATATCAGAAATCAGTGTAATGGCTGTCAAAACACAGGGACAGGATTTATTTGGACATATTTCTACAGAAGACATCAGAATATCTTCATATCTGCAAGAGATCAAACACGGAATGGTCTTTTAATTTTCCTATTTGATTTATGGAAGTTTTCAAGTTGCTTTATTTGGGGATATACCAGTCAGTTGAACTGGAGAACAGTTCTTCTCACCCAGCCTCCCCCCCACCTCAAAATCTTCAGAAGCCCTCAAACTGCAGTATCTCATTCCCTGAGTTTCAGCACCCTGTAGATACCTCTTTTTTTTTCACCTGCTTTTCCTGATCTAGTGCTTGCAAGCTTGCTTCTCCTGAAGTTTAGATCCCTTTATCAGCCTTTTCACCACAGAATCGATACTAAGGTGAAAGAAATGCCAATTTAATGTCTAAAATGTTAAGTGTGTTAGGATGTGTAACTAGAGGAAAAGCATGACTCGAAAGGCTCTTTGAATGTTTTACATTATACAAATCTCATTAAAAGCTGTCTTGCCAACTCTCGTGCTCTTTTTCTTTCAGGTATAGTGAAGCACTAACATTTTTTTCTGCACTGGAGGAGCACAGTCCAGTTCTTTCTAGCCTTTGTCTCTTGCTCTGTCATCTTTCAGGATCTTCTGACAAAGCCCATTGAAGAGCAGGGTAGGATGTGGTTCTGAAAGCTTGCAGAGTTCATAGCTTAATGAATGGCATAGATAAAATTCACGTGGCGGTGTTTCAGTTCTATAAATGGACACATCTTTTATAAACAACCCAACCTGTAACATGAGAAGTAAGAGTGGCAGATCTAGCTTCTTCTAAAAGCAAAAACTGAATTCTAGTGTAGGGAACAGTGTAGGGAGATGCGTAATTTGACTTAGCCACGTGCATGCTTTTCAGTCTCGTTTTTCGTTGTGCTTTCAACACTAAACCGGCCACATCATCATTTGTTCCTTCTCTGTCATTCTTCAGGACACAGTCCATTTTAAATTTATGCACCTAAAACTGCTGTCACTGGGTGTCTAACAATTAAGTGTCTCCAGTGGATTATAGCATATGGTGTTGCTGAAATGTTCTCTTTCTGCGTGCACTCCTGATTGGACTTTCAGCTACTGTATTTAAGTGATCAGTTTATATGTAAGCACAGAACATTGTACAGAGCTGTAATAAAACAATTGTGTCAGGAAATCAGGGTACCAACCTGAAGCTTTGAATTAATCACATTTTAATTTTTGACAAGGTAGAAATGCTTTCTGTATTTAAGAAAAAAACAACCTTTTTTCTTGAGCAAAATCTTTTAAAGCAGAAACTTTCAGTGCAGACCTACAGGTTCTTTTATATGGAATTTGTATCAAAATCTATAAATATCTCTCCTAATCAAGAATCTACTCCAAGTGACCATCTTAAATATTAGGTTAGCTTCTGAAACGTATACCTCTGTAAGGACAGCCATTCCCATTTGGAAAGTAAGTATCTTCAGTTCCCATTGTATTTGGTCAGCGTTTTTGGTTCAGGAATAGTAATTACTGAGAACAGCTTTCAGAAGTTAAAAGCTAGTATTCTGAACGGCTGGCAAAGATGCATTCATCATTTGATCACTGTTGTTTGCAGGATTGCTCGCTCTGCTCCACTTGTTCATTTGTTGTGCTTTTTAAATAAATCTCACTTGCATTCTGAGAACATCGATATATTTTGATTCAGATTCCCCACAATATCTTGGAATGGAAAATATGCTTGCCCCAGGCCTGAGAACGATCTCGCACATATTTTACCATTTAGAGAACATTCAAAACAAGTTACATTCAGAGCACAGAGCTGTAGAAACATATTTTTTAATGAATCTTGTGCCTAGCATTACAAAGTGACAAATTAAATACTCTGACATACAAACATTTCAGTATGCACTAACCATAAAAATAATCTGAGACAATAATGTTTATGAAGTTTCTATTCTGACATAAGAAACAAGGGAATTGTATGTCTGAATTTATAAGATCATGCACTGAAGATGTTTGAGGGTTTTACCATTTTCATTTATTCATGTAGTTCCAAATAATACTAAAAATCTGCTAAACAGTAATTTAAAATCTAAAAATCTCCAGGCATTACCTGCTCATGAAAGTATGATTTTAAAGCAAAAGTTAACTTAGTTGTGCTAGAATTGTGTGTAGTATAATAAGCATCAATAAAATAATTCAATTACTAGTAATTTAAATCAGTGCTTTAAAATGGTTAAACAACAAAGCATTTTTAGGGTCATATGGTTATGAACAATACCTCAAGCATTCTGTATGTTGAGATGCATTTTAGTTTTGGAATTCTATAAAGTAAAAAGCTCAAACTCTTTGTTAACAATTTTATCTATTTGGGAATATTTCCTTCTATGAATTAACGAATTTCCCCTTCATGAGGAAATAATACAAGAAAGTTTTAACTGACAGTAGTAGCTATTAATGTTTCAAAGTATTTAATGGGAAATGAGGCTTTTTTTCCCTTAAATTGAACAAAATACAGTTTTCCAAAAGCTTATCGAGATGATTCTTTCCAAGAGCAATTCTTCTATTCCTAGTGAGCGGCTGTTTCTCTAAAACTTTAAACAACTTAAAATTGAGAGTTGCCTTGAAATCACTCATTGATCTCTTTGAGAGCAGGCTCCTAGATGGACAAAGCACTATTTCAGCTTACTATTGCATCACAAAATCTAAAGTTTTAGTATATTTTCTTCACCACCTCTGAAACTAGCAGGATATTTAAATGTAATGTAGCTGCATCTTTTTAAAACATTTTGCTAGATGTGTGTTATTTTGAATGTATCCTGGTGAGTTGTTGATTTTTGTGTTCTTACTCATTTTCTGTTTTGCCCCTGAAAGCGATCTTCACATCTCACGAATGTTTTCTCTTGTGCTGGATAAAGGTGAAGGTTGTCAATGCTTTGAGAACAAAACGTCGCTCTAGAAAGAAAACACAGCACGTAAGCATAAAGTTACTTTTTAAGGCTACTATCTTTATAAAAGTGTGCTCTCTAGATACACTGAATCTGACTTTATCTTGTCTTTTACAGGAAGGTGTCTGTTTTCACCGGCTTGTGAGGAAAGAGATGTATCTGGCTACCAAATAGTAGGTGAGTAAAAGGAGCAGGCAACTGAGTGTATTATCCCTCTGTCTCTTTCTGGTGTCATACACGGCATGCTTTTCTCCATCACATACCCGCACTTTTGTCTTTGTATTCTCGATGGCCATTGTTTCAACTCTTACTACCAGGGTTGCACTATTTGGCCTGCTAGCCCTTAGCTGGAGACTGGTATTTAGCTGAGGTCATTAAAAATTTGTTATGTAGGATGCTAAACCCACCAGCAACTCCATATGCTACGGAATTTTTTTCTATATATGGAACTCAAATATGTTAGAATCTAGTATTTTATTGCTCATAATTGTCTTTTATTAACTACTTTTTATGCCCTTATGTTGTGCCTAAGTGTTTCTCATTAGATAATCTAACAAAGGAAAAGTTATCATTCATATAAATTCTGCAACTGTTGTGAGGTAAAGGTATGTGGAGATAAAAATATTGTCAACAGTTTGTTCAAATGCTTGAGAAAAGGACCAAACAGCTCAAAACACATCTTGTGTTTATTACCATTTTTCAGTATTGGATTTGCAAACTTCCTGTTTCTTTGATCCATTATGTTTGGTCTTTCCAAGAACATCAAAATCTACAGGCTCTTCTCTTTGAAGAAAATACTTTTCCTTAAATGTCCTTTACCCTTCCTTCTAGAATCACCTAATAATCTTTCATTTTTCCATCAAGCATTAATACAGTATTTCAACAGTAACACATCATTTCCATAACCATGACCAGATTGCACAGAACAAACCCCAGAGGGTTATCATTATCCATTAAAATCTTGACACAAACTCCCATTTATGCTTGCAGCAAAAAAAACTTGTAAGGAGCATTAGGTACCTCAAGATACTAGCATCATTTTTGTTAGTATAACAACTACCCGCCTCTCAGATACCTATTTCTTAGGATTTCTTACATAGTACATCAGCAGTAATTGGCTTGTGCCAGGTTATTGACACAGCTGTATTGCACAGGAGCTATCTGGTTAGAAAAATGAGTATACCTGACATAATCTTTCCACAGCCTTCATTCCCAAGGTACAAAAATGTGTAGTTAAAGAGCTCTCTGATTTGTGGTGTATACTACGCTATAATTTGCTCTAGCAGCTAGGTCAGTACTGATTTGGGATCATCACTTTTAAGAAGTAGCTTTTGATTGCAGGAGCATGTGCCAAGTGCTGCGTTAGGAAAATACCTACAAAATACAATTCCAGGGGGACAAAATCCAATAAAATGTGATCCTTTCTCTGCCTCTCACCACACACAGATTGTCTTATGAGAATGTCTCTTTCAATTGTTTGATTTGCCTTTTTTTTTCAGTATCAAGGAGATGCATCTCTGCCAATAAGTATTGTTCCACAGAAAGTCTTCAGTAGTAATAACTGGTGCTGGTAAGAAAGAGACTATAGCAAGGAAAAAAATCCCCTTCCAAGCCTGAGCCACAGTTACAAGGCAAGACATGCTTTTCTCATTAACCTTAATTAAACTGCTCAGTAAAAATTCTCCAAGGATTAAAGCAGTGGAAATCATTACAATTCTTGTTATTCTGTCTTCTGGCAGAAATTTCTTTGAGTGAATAAGCAAAAGTGTCATTAGCGTTGCTGTACGTAGAGAACAGAGCCACTCAGACTTGGTGATACAGTTTCAAAGCAATCAGCAGGGGAAAAAGGAAAAACGAACACTTCCACACACCCTCCCCACACACCCTCACACCCTACCCCCCCCCCCCAAAAAAAACCCAAACAAGACACTAACTTGTTTGCATTCATATTTTTTTCTTCAGAAAGCTCATTTCTAGTGCTACTTCAGAGATCAGCTACCAAAAGTCACATCACTGAATTCACACTATTTAAAAAAGAACAACCAGAGTGCAAAAATTGGTGTCAAATGCCAGTGAAAGTATGATATGTACAAGTATGTACAGTCTTCTTGTTTTCGAGGACTGCTCACATTCTGCTCACCCACCACAGGAATTTCAAAATGTCTGTAGCTGAAGCTTTGCTTCCACAATGTATCATTTCAGGAACCTCTTACACAGCCTCCACGGTGTAGTAACTCCTTATCAGCTATCAGACACTGGACTGGCTCTTGTATGGATGAGGTAAAAAAAAGGGAATTTTGAACCCTTAACTTCAATGAATAATGAGATAACTGTGTAGTTCTAGATTTGATATTTTAGTGAAAACTTTCAAGAATGGAGATGCTGAGTTTCTCTATTAATTACATACTGAAAGTCAAATAATTAAGATTTAGCATATTTTTTGTAAGTAGGAATTCAAATTTTTCATCACATTAATGTTGGAGCCAATATTTATCTTACAAAGTATCTTGTTTCTTTGAAATGTCATATGTTCCTTATGGAGTGAGATAATCACATTCTGAAAATAAGTCACAAATTGTTATCAGTTATTGTAATTAATTGTGTGGAAAAATTGCATTGCAGAACTTGTTAAAATTCTTCCTTGGATATGTATGCTGACTCCTCCATCTTCTATTCCCATGTATCAACAAAACCACCACCCAAGGCTACTGTGCCTTAAACTCAGATGGTGAGCCTGAACATTTCCTACTATTAATTTCTGACCTAAACCCAAAGTAATTATTTAATTCACTTGAAAATCATGCAGTCTGATAGGAGGGGGCAAAGTCAGTTATTGTACATGGATAAATTCACCATTGGTGAAGAGTGCTGGCACTCGGATGCTTGCATTTGAATGAAAATAACCTGTGTGCCAAATATCTGTGGTGTTATTTCAAATTGTACTTTCAGTACACTTACTTTTGCTGTGTTTCCCCTGCTTTCACTTTTATTGTCTTCACTATAAGGCCTGGTTGACGGGTGCCTTTTGTCCATGTCATTATGGTTTGAACTGTGTCCCAGAGATTTTCCCAAACTGCAGTTCCTTCCCATTTTAACTTGATCATTATTACCTCACCAATATCAGTGTCCAGGGTGATGAGAAAAGAGTAGGTTTTATTCCCATTTATACTTTCAGCTCTGCAGAAAACAAAACCAGAATAATGCTGTCTTAATTATTATGGTTAAAGTGAAAAAAAACCCAAACAATTAGTTTGCTCTTCTCTTTAAAACCAAAGAAGGAACTATGTTTCCTCCTCCTTCTCCAAAAGGGACCCTTACTATCTCTAGGATACTCTTCCTCCAGGTGCATAAAGTGGCAAAATATGGCAACATGCTGAAAAAGAAGTGAACAGCTGGAGAAGCCTGAACAGCTGGTGAAGCAGTTGGGGTTTCTGACAACAAAATAAAAGGTGTCCCATAATAGCATCTACGTTGTATCTTTTGTCTGCTAGAGCAAATTCTGACCCACTCTGTTGCCTTCTCTTCTGTTAATGCATATGGTGTCTATCATAAGAAATATCCAAAATTATTTACCTTAATTACAGCTGCTTATTTATTTGTGTTTTAGTTTATTAGATCTCCCTCTGTTACCCATGAGATGGACCAGACACAAGTGGACAGGATACTTAGCATTCAGGGAAACTTCCAAGATTACTAAATTTGGTTTATAGAGATTTTCCGTGCAAAGCCAGTATGAACATTATAAAAGTTTGTGATTTTTAGGGAACATGGGTGAAGAGAAGACAATTTCCAGTTCACCTTCACTTACCTGTACTAAATCATTTCACACATAGCAATTTACATACGTGAGAGTGTAATAAATTGGCACCTTCTTTCTCACTTGCATAGCGATGTGTAATATCAATACTTACAGTGTGATGGGCAAGCTTTTAGCATCCTCCTTAGTGCCTGTCAGAGACATGGTAAAAGTTGGCTCTAAATGCTTGCCTGGGATTTCATTGATGAAGTGGATCTTGAACTGATAATGATAGACTGTAGAAAAGAAGAATTTGCAAAGTGATAAAATTAATAGTCAAAGAAGCAATAGATTTCTCAGGCAAAATAAAATTGGATTGATACTGTATTTTATTTTTTAGACAGATGTGTTGCAATCAAATCTTTTTTGTTGTTGTTGTTGTGATTGTTGCTGTGCTGTGTAATCCCTTGGAGTTTGGAGATCTGTTGCTCTATTTAAAAGGATGGAAAAAAAAAGGAAAAGGGTAACCTGGTTGAGTTGCCTTTGTAGATAAAACATTCTTCCATGGGAAATATTTCAGCTTTTCTTAAGTTTAGTTTTTAGAATTTCTGGCAAGCCCTCTATGTAATTACCAGACAAATTCTTATGACTGGACATAGCTAGAGATGTATGACACAGATTGAAGAATTTACGCAATGTAGTCAGGCCTCTTCACTGATCAGCTGGAAAATTGTCCTGTGAAACAGATGACTCGCAAACTTTCTTTGACTGCATAATAATACATTGTGCTTAACATGCATATGTTAACAATGTGACTTTGTTCAAGCACATTACTGTAAGAAAGATATCATTAATACTTTGCGATTTGGTGGATTTGTAGAAGAACAGTGTCTAGGGAAGTCTTTGAACTGAATATTGTCAGAATGAAGAATTAAATCTTCAGAGTACTGGTTGTGAGCAGCTTGACATCAGCAAATCATGAAAAAAAACCAAACAAACCCCAACAACCAAATCCTAAGAGTTAGAGGCCATGTGCACAGAGATATTATCAACTAGATCTGAATGTTCAGAACTCTTCTGTCTGGTGATTCTACCAGCCACCTTCTGACAAAACTGATAGATTTAGGTGTTAAGGAAGAAAACCTTAAGTAACTGCTATTAACAAAGATCACAGAGTATTTGAAAGAATTAAAGGTGCTTGCATTTATCCTTGCAATCTGATCAAATTACACATGGGAAACTGTCCTCGTAAAATATTATTGCACACTAGTTTTTGAGTAGAAAGATGCTCTTTGCTCATTTCCTCTCCTCACCCACTTCAGGCTTGGCTACATCTGAGAGTGGATCCACCATACTGCTGTCATCTTTTTATGTACGTGCACAGATCGATTTGTTTTGTGTGTGTGTGTGTAGCTCTCTGTTCACAATGGAAGGCATTTTCTGGAAAAGCTGTAACTTTTTGTGTTGTTTCCTAGTTAATGTATGTCAGTGAACAATGTATTTTCCCTAGAAAAGGTGCCAGAAAACAAAATGGCTGCTTCTTTGCTACAAACCTCATGAAGACAAAGCAGGCAGAGGCTTGTTTATAGTCCCTTTTATTACTAAACTGTCTTGAGTTTTCCCTCAATGTAAAAATTGATTATTCTAGTGTATATTCTGATAAAGCCCAGGCTTTTACTGTGGTTATGACACTCACTTTAGGGGAAAAAGGAGAGCATATTCACATAAAAACTCTGACTCAGGGTCCCATCAGAGCTTTATTATAAATGTTAACTTCTTTGTAACAAATGTTTTTTGTTTGAACTGGATTAAAGTGCATTCCAGAATATAATGCCATTAACTTGAAAAATGAAACACCAGATTTTGTGAGGGCGCGGAGCACTGTGAAGGATAATGCTGATTTTTCTGAAATTTCTTCTGTTTGGGCTTTTCACGTGATCTTCAAACCTATTTTTTTTTTTTAAGAGCATTACAAAGATGACTTTGTCTGCACCCTCCCACAGTTGCCGCCTTGTTTGGGAACCTTTGTGAAAGGAGACTATTGTCTGGAGCACCACTATCTGTGTATGCAGCAAGGATAGTTTTTTGAAGCAAAACAGTTCCAGGCATCAAAATGCAACATGTTTAAATTGAAATCAAAGCCAGCAAGACACAGATATTTTACCACAAGCTGAAACTATCTCCGCATCCAAAGAACGCACCATAGGGATCGTGTTTCTGTGCCCAGGCGTGGTGCCCTCAGAGCAACTCGCCTTCCTCATTCTGAGGGTGACCTGACTGTACTGCAGCAAAGTCACACTGGGAGCTAGGCACAGCCTATGGCATCTTAAAATGTACTTAAAGTCGCTTCCTGAAGCATTTTTAAAAGTATAAGATGAGATCCAGCAGATTCAGCTGCTTTGAGTATCCTTGAGGGCTGAGGAGACCCCTCTGGAGTCATCACTTGAGTACTTCACAGCTGCATTAGTGGAAGACGTCAAAATTATTTTAAAAGTACCTGAATTCGTGTGGGTTTTTTAATCTGTGCTATTGCAGCTGAGTACCAGGCACTGCGAGGAGACAAGATGTGTAATGCAAGCAACATTTATAAGCGCTTTTCCCCAGGACCGGGAAGCCCCTCAGTGTCCGTGCCGGGGCGCACTGCTGACATTCCAAGTGCTTCCCCAAGCCCAGCATCTTGGGTAAGGGACAAGCGGGCTGACCCGCTCTGAGAGAAGCACCCACTTTCTGGCTGTGCCAGGCACAACAGGCCGGGGAGTGCAGTGGTGCGGGGCCTACATGGCTGCTGGGGGAGCCTGGGGGCAGGCAGGGCCCTGGCGCTGCCGCGCTGAGGGGAGGGTAGGGCTGTGGTGCAGTGTGTGCCTGCGGGCGCACGGAGGAGGTGGGAGCTGCTCACAAGCCGTGAGCGGGGCCGCTGCCTGGGCTGTGCCCTGCGCTGCTCGCCGTGTGCCGCCTCGGGAGCCGGGGAAGGAAGTGGTGAGGAGGAGCAGCACGCAGCAGAAGTACCTGCACTGAAAGCCCCTTGGAAGAAGTCCCTGCCATTCGTCCCGCACAGTCCTGCTTGTTCTTGCTTGAAATGCACGCAGAGCTTTCCACTAGGAGGTGAATGTTTGCTCGTCAGCAGCAGTTGTTTTCAGTCTCTGACAGCTGAGGCGCAATCAGCCTACAGCCAGGCCTGCACCATTTTGAGGCAGACAGGCCTCATTTCCCTGTCACCGTGCTTCCCTTCTGGTAATATGTGCAGGAAGCCACACTGATGGTCTCTCTGAACTTTGAAAGTTGTCATTTTGTGCTCTTGATAAAGTAATTTAATGGACTTCAGGTCACAGTTTTAGTGCTACTGTTCTGCCCTGTAAAAGTCCATGTTGTTCTGTTTTCTGTCCATTGTTTCAAAAGTAATATGTCACCTTGTAGGCTAATTGCAGATAAAATTTGGGCATACTTGGAACAGGCTGGTTTAGAGGCCTCCCAAAGCAATCCTGCTCCTTTTTTGGCTTGGCTGTATGCCTGCATATCTGATCACAAATCCACACAGGCCAGTTGCAGGAAGATCCTGTAGATCAGGACCCAAAGCATCCCCGAGGCCTCAGATCCACAGTTAGCCAGCCTGTGGCGAGTATGCAGCATGCTTTTCCCCACAGAAACATTGTCAGGATCTTGATGAAAGGGCATCAACATGGCCTATGGGGATCCTTAGTTATCTCAGCAAATTTATTATTCCCATGGATTTTTATAAGCTTTAATAAATGAGTAAACAGGATCCCAAAGCTTAGGCTCATTTTCACACTCTGTGATTGATCTGGACACTGTAACAAGTATTCCCACAAACCTTTGAAAGGCATACGAGCTCTTGTTTTCAGAAAGAGACGTCTGCTTTTTGGGAGCCGTTCCTCCCTGATGTTGTAGCCCAGTGTGTTGCACCGGTTCTTTCTACAGCTGAGACACATTCCCTTGTTGAAAGTGTTGATGTCATTGCACCAGTACGCTGTGCTCTGCTTGTCATTGTGAAGCAGAGAGTCGATGAACAAATGA